ATAAGTACCTACCAAGCAACTTACTGCTCAAAGAAACATGGCCCTCAGAGTTTTGAAGGAAGATCGAAAGGACTAGCTCTTAATGATCAGGTGCCAGCAAAAAAGAACCCAAAGCTTAGAGAAATTGAAGAACAGCACATGATCTGGATGGAATGTGCAGATCAGACATATGACAACATTTTTATATTCCTATGGCAGAAAGGCATGCCAGGCTACAGCAAAATTGGATGGATAAAACAGCAGCCACAAGGAAGCAACACAGAAGTCTGTAAGGATTACAGTACTTGAGCTTATTGAACATTGAATTTCCTTATGGAAGAACAGCCAAAACTAGGAGCAGAAAATGACATATTAGTTTTCCTAGATTACCTGACCTACAGGATCAGAAGGATGTAGACCTTTTGTTTACTTCCTCTTCCCACTATAGCAAGTTGCTGCTTGGGTTTTCTTCAGGCAACCTTGTTTTCCATTTTCCCATGTGAGCTGTGTTCATTTTGAATGAATGGGTGATGTTCCCAAGCCAAGGCTTTAAAATATCTTTTAAAAAAATTATTAGTTTTTCAATCTATCTACATTGAATTTGTGCTTGTTAAACATCGTGTTACATGGGTTGCTTATGATTATTTGTTTTTTGCATCTTGGTGTCTTCTTAATTGTCCTTTCAAAATCTATACATTTTAAAAACATTCATGTGTATATTTTTGTATATAATATTGGCTACTATCATAATATTGCTCTCATAGCATACGTTCTTAAAATCCTCTAATAACATACCTAATAAAAGTAATGCTGGTTCCAAATTTATATAATTTTGAGGTGATTTAATGAACAAACTTTGTATTTTATAGCAGTAATAACTGAATAGGTTCCTAACACATAATAGATGTTATCTAAAGCATTTTATACAGATTGTCTTTATATAATTGTTTAGTCAATTCCTATCTCCACATTTTCTATCATGTCTATATCAATATCATATCTAATATATGTACATTAAATACTGTTTGTTTACCCCATCCTTATATCTAGCTTCTGTTTACCTTTAGAACCACCATGTAATGCCTTTACCCTGATTAGTGACCCCTTATTCCAGTTTAATTCCTTTTTCTAATATGTAGGATATTCCCCCTTACAATCCCAAAAGTTAGATATATACATGCTTTCAACATTGAAGGCCACCTTAATATTTTTTTCTTTTCCATCTTTCTACGTAACTCCTTCTTTTACAGTATTTGTCTTTTCCCAAATCTTGTTTCTATCTCTCTAAAAATTTTGTCATGCCTTGTGCCACCTGTGGACATTTTATACATTTGATCTATCTTCAATAGATCTTCCAGGCTCTTTTTAATGAGATCTGCTGATTCCCTCTCCTTATCTTCCCTTAGCACACCTAAAATTCTCCTCAGATCAAGCCAGAGTTAAATTTCCTAGGTTTTCTGCTCTAATTTCCTCCAGCCCCTCTTTTGATTTGGTGAACATCGTCCACCACCCTCTCATTTCCTCGTTCATTATTCCCTGTCTCCTATTGACTATAGTTCTTCTTCAGCTGCTCCTAGAATAATTTCACCTCTTCGTTATGGGATCTAACTATTTCTAGAATTGTTTGAAGAGTAGATTTTATTTCATCCCAAAATTGTCCTTGTTGTGGCATTATGTCACAAATGTCAAGTAATTGTATTCCAAGTGAAAGTTGTTCAGATGTACAGTGGTGCCTCGCATAACGTTTGCTTCGTTTAACGTTTTTTTCGCTTAACGTTTATTTTTTCAGAATCAGATTGTACTTCGTATAACGTTTTTCCCTATGGGCGATTTTCACAAAGCCAAATCAGGTTTGCACACAACTTAGGGGGTCCTCTAACGAACCCAAGAATTTAGAACAGTTGCTGAGTCTTCATTAATTTTTTGTGAATTTTTTCTTCCCCCATAGGAAATAATGGAGCTGTCAGATTTTGACAGCTGTCAAAAGTTGGGGGGAAAAATTCACCATAAATTAACGAAAAGTCAGATCAAAGCCAAATTAACTTTTGCATCCGTTTTAGAGGGTGCAGAAGCTAATCCAAGCATTTAAAACCATTTTTGACCCTTTTATGACACACTTAAATTTGCAAAAATTGACTTCGCAAAGCCATTGAAATGTATTGAGTCGGCTTCAATACATTCCAATGGAGGAAACATTGTATCATTTAACGATGTTTCCTATGGGTTTTTTCGCTTAAGGAACGCAATCCGTGCCTATTGGAACGGATTAACCGGTTTCCAATGCATTCCTATGGGAAATGGTGTTTCGCATAAAGTTTTTTTCGCATAAGGTTTTTTTTTTTTGAACCAATTAAAAACGTTATGCGAGGCACCATTGTATAATGTAATCAGTCCAATTACATCAATACTTGCTTCCATAGGTCCACTTTAATAGATTGATCATCTTTAGAGTTAAGCTTGAATCCATTCTCAGATGTAGAGAGTTTTCCCCACCTAAAGGCTCAAAGTCCCATCAAGTTCAGAACCCAGGATACAGTTTAGAAGTTCCACTTCGACTAAGTCAGGCTTTCTAGGGTTAATTTATCTGTAGTTCAGTTCTGTCCTCAAAAAGAAAGGGAATGGCAAACAGCCATAAAGTGTTCAAGGTCATTGATTCTAGGCTTTTTGGCAGCACCTTAGATAGCTGTTACAAGTACCATAAACAGGTTTGGTTTCCCAGAGTTGTTGCCAATGGTGTTTTCAGGAGAAAGATTCTTAAGTTTATAGTGACAAGTAACATTAGCTTCCTTCCTTGAAGTATAATTAAATGGCTAATTAATATCAAATTTATTTTCCTTATGTCTCCCTGCATCTCCTCCTCTCTCCAGATTTCTTGATGCTCAGTCAGTGGTGAGGAATAGAAGATGTTATTTCTGTCATAGGCATTGTCTCATCCAGTAAAGTAATACAATTTTAAAAAAATTCTCACCCAGTAGTAACACAATGTTAATTAGGCTGCTTTATTGCTTCTCCGAAGATAGGAGGGCCTGGGAAGACAGGAGGGCCTGGTGTGCACTGGTCAATGGGGTCGCAAAGAGTCGGACCCGACTAAATGTCTAAACAACAACCACAATCGCTTCCCCGTTGCCTGCTGCTGACAACTTCCAAGAAAGCTACTTCAACTGCTTGTTTCAACCCACTGGTTGATTGGAGAGTTTCCCAGATCAAACGTGGGTAACTATCATTCCCCCCATGATACCACCTTCTCCCCCATTTTACCACCTCTTCGGGATGGTTTAACCTCCAGGGGGGTCCAAAACAGGTCAGAAATCAGCCCAGAGGATGGAGCTCTGTCCTCCTGCTGCTGTCTCGTCGCAATGTCAAGCCAGAAACCAGCTTTAAAATGTCCTAAAGAAAATGTTCTATGATTCTAGACTTTTTCCTGAAATTCATGGTTTCTCGAATCACATAACATGTCTCCAAATAAGGAAATATTTTTCATTTAAATATACCTATTTACCTGTTTGTGAAATGTTGAGAAATGCATGCTACATAAACTTGTGCCATGCTTTGATTCCATATCTCAAAGCCAAATTGTATAGAGTTTTAACACAAAACATTAGGTATGGATTTTATCTATTTATTTCAAAATTGAATGGATGGAACGAACCCTGTGTCACGTTCCCGGGGGTTACAACAGCCGAAGTCCAATAAACCAGTCCAGGGTCAAGAATACCAAGAATTCAAAGCCAATGTCCATAAATCAACTCACAGAAGGAAGTCCAGTGGCAAAGTCCAGAGTCCAATACACAGCGTAGTCCAGAGTCAGAGTCCAAAGTCCAATACCGGCGTAATTCAAGGGCAGAGTCCAGGGTCAGGAACACAATGCAAGAAATGTGGATGCAAGCCAAGGTTTTGACTCCTTGCTTCCACAGAATTTCTGGCTTCACTGGGAGCTGTTTTATAGTAAAACAGCTCCTTGAGCTGCTGGAAAGCTTTCTATCCTGTTAATACTCAGGACTAGATGCACGTAGGTTTCTGTGGACAGCCTTTGAGCGATCCTCTGATCTTCTGGTCCTAAGTCTTTCCCGAAGCCTGCCCCGAAGCCTGTCTGCTGTGGAAAGAGAATCTGGAGGCGGTTCAGGTGTTTCTGATCTCTCCACATTCTCTTCAGTCACAGTTAACCCTTCAGGTTCCAGGTCTTCGGAAACACTCATGACACCCTGATACTTATGAAATAATGGATTTTTTTTTAAAAAAAAAAACCTATGATATACATATAAGGTAAAATATACATAGTGGCCAAAATCCTGTTGTATAAGTTGCACCTGCAGAAACATGATGATGCCACTGGCAAGGGGCCTTTCTTGTAATTAAAGACTTCCTCTTTCCATCCCATGGTTCCAACAATTTCCACACAATGAAACACATTAGTCATACACCAAATAGAATGAGGAAGTCTTTACTGAAAATCTCTTCTGAGGTCCTGAGAGTGGGCGGAGCTACCATCAGCAGTTTGGGAATCTCCCTCTCTTTGGGGGGGGGGTGACTCTCATAACGAGGTCCACAGCTTGGGGATCCATCTGGACCAGGCGCTTACCATGGAATCCCAGGTGGTATCTGTGGTCCGATCTGCCTATTTACATCTGTGGCGGATTGCCCAGCTGTGTCCCTATCTAGATGGCCTGGCTCCATTCCTTCTTGGGGGACCGCCCTCAGAGAGTGCAGCTTTGTAACCTCATCTAGATACTGGCAGACCATGTCTGGAAGAAGGTCACATTGACCCTGATTCAGTAGCCAGAAAACAATTAGATCATCTTGCCTTTATCTGGAGCCAAGGCCTTGCATGAAGACAAAACATTGATAACACACCTGCTCGTTAGCATTGCTCGTTAGCGCACGGATGTAATCCATCACTATGAAGCTTACTAGCTGTTAGTACTGTTTACTCTGTACTATAAAATAAACCTCGCACTTGGGTGAGGAGAGCTTTTGGTTCATGACTCTTGTCTCCGTGTCTTGATTGCTGGATCCTGAACCAGGATCCCTCATCAGCTGGTGACCCCGACGTGATCCTCCAGCTCCCATCAGCCGAGCCGACATTCTTCTGATGTAGGTTCAGCTCCCATTCACCCTGCTTCCCTCGACTGGAATAGTCTTCGTGCACCCAGCCCACGGGCTCCCCGGGTAAGTATGGGTTGCTTATCTACTAAAGAGCAGCATCAGAATGCTGAAGAGTTAATTGTGAGGCAAAATGACGGATGGCAAGTATCAGGCAAAGAATTAATGGAACAGGAGCAACACGCTCGAGAGCTAAGTAGGCTCGTTCAGCAGAATTGCAAGAG